TCAGAGATATAGACTGAACCCCTCCGCACTGGCTCCCCTCCTGGCTAGTAGACATCTCTTCTGAGTAAGCACTAACTGCTGGCTTTCCCCTATGCCCAGCATTCCCTCCCTCCATCACCAGCTCCTAGAGCTTCCTCACACTACTCCCAATTTGTAGCTGCGCACAAGTAGGTCCTGACAGCAAGGTTACAACCCACAGTACCATTTCTAGAGTTACCCTGCAGTGCAAGAAGGTGAATTAATATTGCTTGTGTCCGTATGATTTTTCCCAGTTGTATTATGCAGCCTGCTGTGTTAACAGCAAGAGACATAGAGTCCCAGTTAGTGGCTATTGTGCTGTCTTTCTATACCTTTTGTTTTTAGTTATATTTTGTTAGCTGTTTGGAGACCTATTGCTATTAACACCTTCTAATCAAAAGGTATCTTTCTTATTTTTAATGTCTTTTTTTTAATACCTTAGGTTAAAGCCAGGACTTTTCTAATTGCCTTCAAATCTGTGGCTGGTTTTTGAGTTTTCCAAGCCACCCGGGTTATCTTATTGTTTGTTTCACTACCTCACAAGTGATAGAAAGGATCAGTGGGGCATCATGAATCACACACCACTTTTCACAGTATTTTTGGAGTCATCAGGCATCACTTAAATACATTCTGACAATTTGAAAAGAAAAGAACTGCAGTGGCTTGGGTTTTGTTTTCACTGAAGCATGAAAGATAAAGTGGGGGCAGGGGAAGAGCAGAAACAATACTGCCTTGACTCATTTTCTTGTCCATACTAGCCTGATGTTTCTGGCCTTTAGCTGCCTGAATTGCTTATTGAACATGGCTCCAGGATTTAATGCCAAAAACAAATAATGTATCTGTGTAGATGCAAATTATTTCAGTTCTCAGTATCCATGTGCAAGATGATAATGAAAATTCATTGCCAATGTCAGCTAAGTGAATTTTTTGAAACGGTTGGGGTTTAAGAAAGTGAAGCAATATAACTGTCCTTGAGGGGGTCTGTGCCCTTTGACAGCAAAGAGAAAAATATTGTGTGTTCTGCAAAACTGTCTCTTTCCTATACATAGGAAACTGAGAATATAATCTGGTTAAACAACAATGTAGTTTTCATGAAGACACCAAATAGGATCGCATGGGAATCTGTAGATTTCTTCCTTCCTGGGAAATAAGCCATCTTTTAAAGTAGCAAAAATATTGGGGAGGAGAATAGTATTCTCTAAAACTGGGATTTTTCCCCTCCTTCTGTAATGCAGTTGTTAACTTTCCAGAGTGAATGAAAAGCAGGGCTGGATGCAAGTTTTGTGAAATGCCATTCTTTCTAATCAGTATAATTAAAGAGTCCACAGTATTCATCCAGTATATAATAATTATGCAACGAATGGAAAATATGCCTGACCTAAGCATTTGCTTTGAGAGATGGAAAAATGGAATGAGGTATAGTTTAATGAAATACTGTCATTTCCCACATCTTTCCTTTACATGTGCATTTGCAATTTTCTTTGAAGTCACACTGTGAGATATAGGTTCTAGAAAGCAAAATGACCTTTATGTAGCTCCACAAAGTAAATTCCTTCATGTGTCCAGATTTCACAGGAAATCATATATTTTCCCTATCAAAGCACTTGCTATGGCCCTAAATGCAATAACCCCCTTTGACATATTTAAGAAAATAAAGTCAAGTAGTGTAGTACCTGTCAATGAAATGATGAGCATTATAATTATTTTAAATATTTTCAAATCTGTTCTACATATAGCCAAAAATTGCTTCATAATTTTATAAGAGGAGAGCTTATATGACTGGGACAACTATTACTGCATAAAAGTCTCCTGTAGGAAGTGGAATGGATCATAGAAAAGATCACATCTATGAACAGTTTAATACACCTTCAGAGCCATTGATCTAGATGTTGTGCCATTGTTCTTATATATTTTCAGTGTCCCAGTGTTTTAAATGTGGGTAGTGAATTACAGGCCCTATTGTGACTATCTGTGGCAAAATCTGCAGGAAAATAATTTTAAAAAAAAACCTTGGGAAACTCAGAGGTTTCCCCTACAGGAGCTGAGCAAAATTGATCCTATTATTGACAGTTCAGTTGGTGACCACAACGTTTTAAATAATAATAGGAAAATGGCTATCTCTTGCCTTTACCCCACAGTGGAGGAGAATAGAGCCTGCAGGCAACCCGCGCTCTTAATTGGTTCCGAAAAAACCAAGCATTAAGCAGAACCGTGCTAAGCAAAACACATTTTCCTATAAAAAATTAATGTAAATAAATATAATTGGTTCGGCTGCTTCTCACCCGCCCGCTGGCCACTCCACCACCACCTGCCAGCCCAGACCCCACGCTCCTACGACCCCATCCTGGGTCCTGCTGGCCCTGGCCCCGCACTTCTGCTACACCACTGGCCCTGGCCCTGGCCCTGGCCCTGGACACCAGCCCAGGCCCCGCTCTCCTGCAGCCCCACTTGCCCTGGCCCTGGGTCCCACAATCCTCCTGCCCCACCGGCCCTGGCCCAGGCACTGGCCTGGGCTCTGTGTTCATGCCCCCTGCCCGCCCTTTCTCACCACCACCACCGCTGCTGCTCCTCTCCGCCCACCCACCAGCCGTCCAATTTCTGATCACTTAAACCAGTTTATGTATAATGTCTGTCCCTAGCCTTTGGGAGTAATAATCATGCTCACTTAAACTTTGACGTGATGCTAAAAGAAATGTCTGTTATCATGCAGAGTGAGCCAGTAACTCCAGTGTTGAATAATCTTAAGAAAACTGTGAGGCACCATCCCTCACAATGGACTAGCTCCTGTGTATGTGTACCAGTTCACTCTACTAGGTACACTACACTAGACTGGATCTTTAATATACCAGTTCCTTCTGCTGTAGTAACATTAGGGATATATATTGAAGTCTGTAAACATAAACAGGAATATCCACATGGTAGGTACCTAAGTGTGATCCTATTCTACCCTGTTCAGGTCCCTGTAAAACAATAAGTCTATAATTGTAACATGCCTCCATCTTAGCCTGAAGACAAAGTGTTTAAAAGCAGTGGTGGTGAGGAGGAGGAGGAGTCACACACTCACCTTTTGCATTAGTGGTTCTTCAAGGATTTGAGTAGGGCGAAGTAGTGTCCTGCTCAGGCTGATAGGTAGACCAGGATCTGGTCCTACAAGTTCAGCTCACCCTAATGTTTTTAATTAAGCTGTAGGATAGATTTGACAGAACCCAGAGCCCACGTGAGTTTGGCTTTTGGAAAAATCAACAAATACAAGTACGAAGGCCTGTGAATTCACACACCTTTGGCTACTCCCTGAAGATGTCCTCTCCAAGTGTCCCCCCAAGTCTCTGGATTGTCCTTTAACAATATTATTAAGTGAGGACCTGACTTCTCACATCTCTGCCAAGGGGGGCAGGAGACCTTCCTCCCCCATCCTGGCCCTTCATTGTGCTGTGGGTAACTTCACAGTCTTCCTTCTTTGAGTGATCTGTCCAGTAGATTCTGTCCTTCTGCACCCTGTCCATTTTTCCATGGTATGAAAGCACCTGCCCTGTTCTGATCTTGATGCATGTCTCTGCATCGGAGCAAATGAAAGGGCCTTCTGTAGCTTTTCAGAAGTCAAGCTGATTATTGGCTTAAATTCATGCAGCAGTCTCTGTGTTATCTCTGCTTCACAGCTGATGCACCCCAACATCATTTGTGTGCTTTTCTGCATGGCGTCTGGAGGAGAGAGATCAGATCAGGAAATCTGAACCAATCTATGGCCTCTTGCTGCTTTTGTCCTCTTACACATCTAAACTCAGTATAGGCTGTAACCCTTTTTAGCCTGTAGAATTCCTGTTCTTTGACCTTCTCTGGCCTCTAGTGGCACATATGCCTAATCTGAATCTTGCTTCCCCTGCTGTCTCCCTCATTAGTGTTTTGATGGATCTCACTCCTCTTTCTCTAATGTGGCCTTTTTCCCTGGGTAAGGAAATTCCCTGGAGATCACCTGCTCCTCTGTGATTTTTCTGCATTATTTCTAGCACTAAGTTAATTTTTCTTTGTTCCATTTAAAAACACAAAATACTTCCCCTAATATATAAAATTACTAGTCGTGCTAGGATGAAGGGCAGTTTTGAAATGCTCTGTTGTTTTCTACAATAAATTACAAACAAAATTTACTTCCAGTGAACACATTTAGGGGAAAAGACTATCTGTTAGATCAGTATTAATATAGCACTTAGGGCCTCTATTGGGCCTCTATTGCTAGCTATATTTCTAAGCACTACAATAATCTAAACATTAAATAAATTATCAATATTTTTTGTAAAAACTACTTCCATCTTGGAGTTTTGTTTACATCAGTGATGCCAACTCATCTGGACTCCGAGCTGGATGAGTGTTGTGGTGCCAGCCTATGGGCTAAATCTGGCATGGGGCTAGTCTGCAGGCCAGATCTAGTGCCTGGAGCCACATGTCATCTGAGCCACAGGGCTCTCCAGGAGTCTGGAAATTTAGTGGCAGGACAGGCAATGGCACTGTTAATTTCTATGACTCCTGAAAGCCATAGAAATTAATGCTGCCACTGCTCCTCACTGCCAAATTTCCAGCCCTGCGGGGAGTCCCATGGGCCAGATAACATGACCTCATGGACCAAATCCAGCCCATGGTCCTTATCTTGGTTACCCCTGTTCTACATCATTCTTGCCCTGTTATTCATCCATATAACCCCATATTTGTCCTATCCATAATAATAATCTGGTACACTTTTCTAGGTAAACACTAGTTTATGATGATTGTATGCATTGTTACATTTTCTATATAACCCAGCTCCTGTCTAATAATTGATTCTTGTACTCATATAGAAACCATGTGAAAAAAAATTCCTCCTGGTATCAGCCACAGGATCAGAGCCTTCATCTGTTTTGAATTCAGAACATCAGGGCATTGATACATCTGTACCTGGAAGGGTCAATTCATGTTTTCTCACTTCATGGACGTGTATGGCTTTTGTATTCTAGATTTGAGCGTATTCATACAAAGAAAGGGAACTACAATAAATCTCAAGTTTCTAACCAGGAGGATGTAGATGATTTAGCAACCTTGGAGGTACTGGATGAGGTGAGATGTTTCACTTGTAAAAGCTTTCCTGCAAGGGAGCATTCAGATATGAACGGAAAGATAAACCCTGCTGTATTCTTGATGTTTAAATGGCCTGCATTCTCACATTGCAATTAATTAATAGCTAATGATATGTTACAGATTTCTGATGTTTATTGAATGTGAGATAAGATATGCTGCATCTTGAGTACCCACAACTGACATAAATTGTCATAAGTTTCATCATTGGTCCTTTACCCTAGTAAAGACTGTGGAATCTAACAACTTGTTATCTTAAAACTATGGCAACTCCAAATGCAGCAAACATCACTTGACATGCATCTAGAGGAGTTCGTTCTTAAAGGTGATGCATCATCATGGGCCACATTCTCAGCTGGCATAAAATGATGGGTAGTTCCATTGAAGTTAGTGGTGTTGTGCCACATTGAATCGGCTGAGGAGCTGTTTTTGTGCAACCAACTCTTGAACCTGTACAACATTTGAGAGACAAAAGTAGTGCTGTTTTGTAATCACCATCACAAAGGGGAAAGTGTACTATGAGCAGAATATCTGTGTTGAAAGCTATTCCCTTGGAAATCTTGTTCTGCATATGCTTCATTTTACTTTGTTTTATTGGTCTTTATTGTTTCCTTTACCTCTCTTTTGCTAAGGAATGTGGCCAGAAGGCTTGATTCTCTACTTACACTTACTCTGCAGTAGTATGCTTCCATTTTCTTCAGTGGAATTACCCCTGATTTATACTAGTAAATGTGAGAGAGAAAAGAATCAGACAATAGTGCTTTATCTACTGTTCACAGAGGCAATGATTGGATGTTGATGAAATGAAAATGTTGCACTGTTGAATGGTTTGTGAATCATTACAGAATATAATTCATAATCTCCCTCTTCAAGTTAAACTCTACTGATATATTACCATTAATCAGCCCACAATAGTTCACTCAGTGCTTCTGAGGTATGTTGTCATCATTGGATAGTGATAACTGCACTTCGAGTACTTTAAATTTTCAAAGCACCTTAAACATTAGTTAATACTACAGTAGCAGTAGTTTATTTACAGCGGTTGCTAAAACAATACAGTGAAATTGACAATAAACATATATATAATTCATAATAAAATTATATCATTTATGAGTATTGATAAAAGCATACTGTAAGATTACACATTCTACAGTTTAAACAAAAATAATTAAAACAGAACATAAGATTGTGGGAAAGTAAAGCTGGAAGGCACGTCCCAAGGTCATCTGTCCAACCACCAGCTCAAGGCAGGATCATCCGTGACTGAAACATCTCAGTCAAGAGTCTGACTAATCTGCTCTAATATAACCTGCTGTTACAAAATATATGGCAATACAAAAATAGATACAATGAAATAATACAAAATATTAGAATACAATAAGAAAAACAGGGTTATTTTATTCGATTTTGGCCCTTATTCTTTGTACAAGTAACACAAATACACCAAGGAGTATAGGATAAGCTATTAGTGAATAGAGACAAGCCAGATTGTTTTTTCTTCATTAGCCCAGTATTTAAAATCTTCCACCAATGAAGAGATCAATTTTCCTCTTATTTATATAAAGAGAATAAGGAAGGCCACAAATAGAGATTTAAACATCTATCTCATTCTTCCCTCAAGAACATATCCACTCGAGTCCAACACCACCTGCCTATAATGACTTTGCATCTCATTTGAGTGAATTGCAGTCTATTAATGGCCTCTCATTGTTTGTACTTTTGTATTTCAGATAAGTAGGTTTCTAGGCCAAAAGAGCACTTTATTAATCTCAAAAAGGATAAGTTTGAGAAGATCTCACTGCCTGCATATTTATCTGCATTATATCTTATTTTAAATATAGGATTAATATTGGGCCAGTGACTGTCAACACATTTCCCAGACCCATTTGTCTGGAGGAGAATAAAAATGTTATTTAACCATCCAAATAAGGATTTATTTGGAAGAGGGGAGTCTTCTAAAATGTACTTCCCAGGGTATCTGATAGGGCTACAGGCTCTAAAATGTTTATACAGTAATTTCAGCCCCATTTCAGATCACGTTTCCCCTCCCCCCACCCTCACCACCTATCCCCAAAAGACATTTATTCACAGTAAAAATGATCATACACTGACATAGGGTTGGATGGCAGAGTGAGTGGTTCAGTAGTCTGTCTGTTACTCCAAGTGAATAATTTTAAGTCTTGTGTAAGCCCTGTACCAGGGGCTATTCTAAGTTAGCCAGCCTTCAGTGGACACTATTTCATTCAGGCTGGGAATTCAGAGGTGGCTGGACATGAATACAAATCACATTTTGGGACCTAATAACCCCTTGCATGCCCTTTATTAACTGAGTGGCTACATTAATCATTGGTTAATGTTTATACAATTATCTGAATATTTTTTGGTGGTTTGAGAGTCGTTTAAAGCTTTAACATGAAGTTAAGATGACTTCCCCATGTGTTCTCTCCCTCTCCTTCTAATACACACTTTTGAATGTTCTTCTATTTGCAGAATATTTTTTTTTTAAATAACAGAAACTTCCCTATTCTTTTTACAACAGAATACAGTGACAGAGCAGTTGCAGAAGAGCTATGCCAGGGATCAAATCTATACCTTTGTAGGAGACATCCTCATCGCTGTCAATCCATTTCAGAACCTAGATATTTATTCTACACAGGTCTGTAAAAATAGCATTGGTTCTCTTCCTATACTCTCTCTGATTTACAGAGAAATATGAACATTTACATGAAATCCTGAGTAAGCCATCCCTAATGATCTACTCCTGCTCTCTTAAATAAAAGAATTACTAATAATTCATGTTGCATTGTTATCTAAGTAGCTTCATTATTGAACTTCTGACCTTAAATAAACCACACTCTGTCACTGACACACGCAAACAGGCTGAAGCCCACTCTACATTGAGACCCTCAACTTTCAATTGTCTTGTTTTTGGAAGAGATACAAGGGTGCGTCTACATGTATTTCCAACTGTGCAGTTGTTACTGCACAGTTATTTAGTACTTGCGTTAGCCCTTGCTTTAGCAAGTACTAAATAACTGCATAGCAACCACCAGTACTGTGCAGTCCCAGCAGCGCATGGGTTATTTTCAACCCTACTGGGCAGTAACAATAAGCTACTGTGCAGTAGCTTGTTGCTACTGTGCAGTAGTGTCAGCGTCACGGTTCCTGCCTGCCAACACTATGTCCCCATAGCAACAAGCTACATCATCATAGCTCATCACTATGGCAACATAGCGTCTTGTGTAGACACACCCAGTGTTTTCTAAAGCACCTTGTACCATCCACTTTTGCTCCTCATTGTGCTTTCCATGAAGGACCAGAAGAATTTCATGCTGATATTCTACTGTTGCCAGGGGTTAGTCCTGGTTGACCCAAGTGTAATAGGAGGAATATTGAAGAACAGATGCTAAGGATTTTCTCTGTTCCCCCTCATGTTATATTTCTGAAATGCTCTGTGTTTTTTTGCTGCTTTGCAACACTCTCCTTGCAGTAAAAAGCTAATTTTGGCCCCTTTACAGGATTGGACAGTCCTCAAGGGGTATAATTCTACTAAAGAATGGGGAGTGCCTGACTGTACCTCCCCTCTGTGACACAAAGGGCTCCTCTGTTAGAGGGCCCTAAAATAACAGCACAGAAGGGATGAGGGGTCCTAGTCAGGCCACATGAAAGCTTGATCTGGAGAATCTGTAATTACACAGACCTGTTCAACCCAATCCTTCTACACAGGAATACCAAATTCACAGAGATTATACTAGGTAGGAGACTGAAACAGACCCTGTGAAGTAGCTCTGCTTCTGCACCACAGAGGAGGGGAGATCAGATTCCTCCCTTAGTCTCTTCCCTCTCTCCTTCCCCCTTCCCCCAACAGATAATCTGAGCTGGATAATCTGAGAAATCTATGTATATATTTAACTGATTAGCTGGTTACCTAAGGGACACTTTAATGCTTTATCCTTGAGTATGTTGCTCATGGTACTTAAACAATAGGTGATTGATGTGAGAGTCAGGAACAAATACAAGATTGCCATTGTTATTACTAGTTACAGAAAATACAAAGAGAACATCCGCTAAAGTTTGCCACCTAAACTGCATACACACACCAGGAGGATGGGAAAAGAAAATGGAACAAAATTATAATTTGGGTGCTTTGTGACTGAAAACATAAAATCTTGTCCTAATTATTTTAATTTTACATTATAATCAAAGCACAATGGGATTTGTAGCTGTGCTAGCTCCTTTGTAGGGTATGTTAATATACAAAGCACATAACAGCCCATGGTATAGATAGTGGAGTAATAATACTTTTAATTCTAAAACAGCTCTACTTGTGTATTCAGGATCCTTTATAGCAAGCAATAAAAATTAAAGAGCCCTGATGAAATAATCCAAATGATGCATTAAAGAAACACTGATGACGTTTTCATTTTTCTTACACTCAGCATTCCAAACTGTATCTTGGAGCAAAACGGACTGCCAATCCTCCCCACATTTTTGCTGTAGCTGACATTGGTTATCAATCAATGGTGACATACAACTCAGATCAGGTAAAAATACTGCTGTGCAAAATCAGATTTATATTTTCTACCTCTTTCTGTTTAACTGAGAGAAAATGGACTTCTGCTCTGATTTTCTTCAGTGCATTGTCATTTCTGGAGAAAGTGGAGCTGGCAAGACACAGAGTGCCCACCTTCTTGTTCAGCAGCTCACTGTCCTTGGAAAGGTAAGTTTTGAAAGTAGAGGCTTTTACATCTCTTTATGAAGTATGAAACCAGAACAGATTGGGTCATATTCTCAAACTCAAGCAGGTGTGGAAAAGGTAATATGGCTCAAAACTGTATTATCTTTTCCAAAGATTATTTACAAGGCTAGAGGAAGGATGATGCACATCATCCATTGCACTTTTCCCCCCATTTCTGTTGCCCTGTGGGGTCAGGCCAACTCTCAGGATCTCAATATTGCGCTGTTAGACAGGAGGGTGTGACACAATTGCACATATACAAACACACAAATCAATTAGGTGCATTCACACACACACACACACACTACCAGCTCAGGAACATACACATCCAAACCAGCCTAGACACATGCATACCTATCACCAATTCAAGCACATACACACTAAAAATTAGACAAAAATCAATTGTCAATACCCGCACACTCAGTACACATACACAGATCACTAATTTGTATATTGTGAACACAATGATAGATAGATATACACACACACACACACACACCAGTTCACATACATACAACCCACCTACACATAGGTAAGTTCCTAACTTGGATGGTACAGTATGTATGTGTGTGTTTGGGGTACCTGGGATACTTGGGGGAAGGTTAAGGTGAGAGAGAGAGAGTCAAAGTGTAGAGTGTGAAAGCTGCCAGAACCAGGATTAAAACCGGTAGACTAGAGAGAAGCTGGCTGAGGAACTGAGGCTTGGGTTTACTTAAGATCAAGTGGTCTCAGGGTTACTCGAAGTCACTGGTGCAAGGGAAAGAAAAAGAAAAAAAAAAGCCTGGGGGCAAGGAGGAGACAGCCAGGAAAGAGAGAGAGACAGAAACCTGGGAACTTGGGGCTGGAAACTGAGGCAGGCAGCTGAGATATTGAGGAGGTGGCAGTGGGCCCAGAAGCAGGAGAGGGAGAAATGAGACAGAAGTTAGAGGGGCGAGGAGCAGAGATTGGAGCAGAGCTGAGCCATAGTAAACCAAAACCCAACTCAGGAGTCCAAATAACAGGTTTATTAAACAGACACCATGCTACACAGCCCCATGAAGTTATTGGTTCTCACACACACACACACACACACACACACACACACACACACACACACACACACACAGAGAAGTGGAAGGGCTGGAGTCCAGGTAGGGAAGAGAGACAAGAGTCCAAGTCCTTGGTTGAAGAGATGGTGAGGGGTGATAGCTACCTATCCAGGCTGGAAAGGGGTCTTTGTCCAGTAGGTGTTGTCCAGAGGGGGGTCGCCGGCAGGGCCTCTGGGTGGATAGGTGGTGTGGCATGGTGCTGGTCCAGATGGAAAGAGCATCCCAAGGAGTCGGTCTTCACTACCCCTTCTATGGGGCAGACTACCTCTGATCTCCTGTGGGGAGGGCCTGTCCAGGCAAAGTCAGTCCTGTTCCAGAGGGCTCCAGGTGTTCTTACTGAGCATGCGCAGCCTGGCACAATGGTGGGTTGCCTCATCTTTTGTTTCTTGAATGCTGTGGGTGGTTCCAAGGGCTGGGTTGTTGGTCCAGGTATTGGTGTTAATGGTTTGGTCATTCAGAGGGAGCTATTTTTAGACCTACTGCCATTGTCTCTCAAGCACCCTCATTCATCCCCATTCATTCAGGAACCAAGTTACATAGGTGGGGTAGGTGTGAGTCATGGATTACATGACCGGGCATGGGGACAGGATGGAAACTTGACAAACAAAATGGAAACTTGACATGACTTATGCTAACTTACATATGTAGGTCTAAATCATATAGTACCAGTAAAACAGTAATATAGGACAGTAAAAATCAATATAAACATAATAATTATACAATATAAAGAAGGAGAAAAAACAAAACAAATACAACTTTCTACCAAAATAAAATGCTGAAGCTTATCCTATGTCTTAGCTCACTTATACTTATCTATAGGGAATAGAAAGGGAGAGACAAAGTCATAAATGGTTGGGGAAGGGGAGGGAATGCATTTAAAAAAAAAGAAGAAAAACTGGGGGTTTTGCTACATTTGGACCACTTGAAAAAAAGTGTTTCAAATGTTGCGAGATATTAGAAAATATAGTGAAACCTGTACTCTTCTTGGGTAATCCTCTGCCATACAGCCTTTGCTAAAAGTTACCCAAACAGTCCTAAATAAGATTCTTTTCCACCTCTTTAGAAGCAAACCTCTCTTCACCACTGGATTGTTGGCAATTCCACTATCCTTCCATATGTGTTTTGGACAAGAAAGGTTGGCCTGATGATTTGGCTTCTTAAATCAATGCAAAAGTATGGTAGATACCCAGGTCTTGAGAGTTTTAAAGAGTGGAAATATGTGGGCAGGAGCACATTGAGTTTGGGAAAGATTTATAACTAATGGAGGGACTCCACTCAGATGTTAAATTGGGCCTCCAGGAGTATCCTCCTTCAGAAAGTGAAGATAGATAGGGAAAGGTTTCCAGTGAGGAAAATAATTAGTGGAAATACAGGGCATCTTTACATATGTTCCAGGGTGGGGGTGGAGGTGTGCCTTAATTAGAGTGGCTTTTGGGAACCTCTCTAATTAAAGCACCTGCAGCATCTCATGGATTCAGTGTTCTGCGCTTCAAAATGGTGACAGGGCACTTTAACTAAAGCTTGTTTGATTAACTTTAGTTAAAGCGTCCCCAGCACCATTTTGAAGCGCAAGAATGCTGAATACATGTGATGCCAAAGCTGCTGGAGCATGCTGATTTGCACGCTCCAGCAGATTCAATCAATTAATCAAGTTCTAATTAGAACGTATTGGAGCGGGCATCGGGCACATGTATAGGTGCACACAAAAACTAATCGAAATGATCAAATGGGAAAAATCCTGGATCCACTAAAGTCATTAGGAGTTCCCCGATTGACAGCCATTGACTTAATTGGGTCCATTCATAGATTGGATTGGAAATCATGGTTTTCATTCACTGTCTTTACTCCTTGCTTCTATGCACTTTAAATGAAGGTACATGTACACACAGTAAAATGGAAATGTGATTGTAACACAGATAAATATACCCAAAGTAGCCTTAATCTAGTTACTGTGAATCACACTTATAGTTAAGACATGCAGACATAGCCATTAGAAACTGTTGAGTAGACTCAACCTTCTTTACTGCACAGCATCTTTACTGCAATTGTGACATATAAAACCAGATTGCAAGATATAACCAGCTTTAATCATATTTGCAATATGTTGCAATTACATTTTCCTGTACAGAAATGCTTTGTCAGGTGGACATCCACTATGGCAATGGATCATGTGGATGGTTCTGTGGCTAAACTTAAGGCCCCAGTTTGCTCTCCAAGGGAATTTTTTCTCATTCGGGTTTTGATGTTTGCTAGTTATAGCTAAATAAAGATTCCAAAAGTACATAAGACAGATCAGAAATCCAACTCTACTTTAAAAAAGAAATTTTAACAGATAAATTGAGATTCTTCTAGATAACTTGTAAAAAAATACTTTTTCTGTATTCATAAGCAATTTGTTTATACAGGCTAATAACAGGACTCTTCAGGAAAAGATCCTCCAAGTGAACAATTTGGTAGAAGCCTTTGGAAATGCAGGCACCATTATCAATGATAACTCCAGCAGATTTGGAAAGTACTTAGAAATGAAATTCACCTGTGGTGGGACCGTAGTAGGAGCCCAAATTTCAGAATACCTCCTTGAAAAGTCTAGAGTTGTCCATCAGGCTCTGTAAGTAAAAAAAAAAAAAAAAAAAAAAAAAAAAGGAAAAGTTGACCCATTTGGAAACAAACAAAAAGAATATATAATATAAGAAAATATTACACTGAAAGATGTAAATAAGTGAGATGTTTTCAAATAAAAGCTGATCATTATAAATGTCTAACAATACAGAATGATTTTTAGTGTACCATTTTCCATTGCCTTCTGGTTTCTCTAAGCAGGATTTTTTTTAACATTGCATATATAGCAAAAAGGGTGTGTATGTGTAAGAAGGATAAGAAACAGTCTAATATTCTTAATTCTGAGTTTCTTTGATTATGTAATTTTATATTACGCCCTTAATATTGTATTTATTTGTTTGTTTATTGTTTAGGTCGATATCTGTAATTTTCCTTCCTTAATGTAACTTGCATGCAAAACATTTGATTAAATCTCAGATAGTTTAATACAGTTCCGTTTAGAAAGGAGCATGACCCAAATATAGTACAGATGCACAAGTTAATATGTATGTTATATATGAGTCTGTAATCTGTAGTACTTTTCTTACACAAAAGTCCGGCTGAGTTTGATCTGCATCAACATGACTAGGGACCTACCTAATTCACGGGAGCTGCCCCCCAATTCCATGGACAGAACGTGGGCCCAGGCAGCCATTTTGCTGGAAGAGCACAGTGGGCCGAGGAGCCCAGCGGCCACGCATGGGGCCACATGACAGGCAGCCCTCAGAGCCAGTCAGCAGCAAAGGGGGGGCATCAGTCATCTTGCTGGCAGCCCTTTGAGTGGGCAGCCCCTGTCCCTTCCCAACCTCAGCAGTCTGGCACAGCATACTGAGGGCTGCTGGCTTCCTCTGGGGAGCCAGCATTTTATTTCTGGTAATTTATTTTTTCCACAGATTCCTGGATGTTGCAGGCAATGCCGAATTTCACAGATTCTGTAAAATCCACGAATTCACAAATTTGGTCAGTCCCTAAACATAACAAACCAGGGTGGGACCGGTTTGTATGTCAAACTTTATTTTCCCAATGAAATTTAAGTCTCAGAAATTATAAATTTTCAGAAAAAAATCAACTTTGCCCTAAAATAATCCAAAAAATACTTTGCACAGAAAGAAACAGACTTATTGTTACTTACCTGGCCAAAAGTGGGCCAGGTGATATTAATATAATGTAATGTAATTATGCTGTCCATCTGGACAGCATCTTTGACACAATAATAGTATCAATGTCATTAACAGTACAACCAATTTACTAAAAGAAATAATTGTTATTTTTTTGTTTCAGAGGAGAGAAAAATTTCCATATTTTTTACTACATTTATGCTGGTTTGGCAGAAAAGAAAAAACTGGCACATTATAAATTGCCAGAAAATAAGCCTCCCAGGTAACACAGGTTTTGTTTTTGTTTTGTTTTTTATATGAATGAATAATGAAGAACCAATCTGTAACTGGGTTCCTAACCTTGTTAGGATTCTAACCATTCCTCCCTCAAATCTTTCAGATATCTGCAAAATGATCATTTCAGAATAGTGCAAGATTTAATGAACAATAGTTTCTATAAGTCCCAGTTTGAATTAATTGAGCAATGCTTCAAAGTCATAGGCTTCACAATGGAGGTAAGTGCTGACAACTTTTAAACTTTCTCAGTTTTTGAAACCTTCATGTGCATGTTTTCAGACCAAGAGGTAAACGGGAAGTATACACAAGGGATACAAATAGTCATCTTCTTTCTTTTATATTTTTCAATATTCTATAGTTCGTTATATTGTCAAAGAAATGTTTAAATTATTTAAGATGTTAAAGTAATGTAATATTATCCCCAATTACTACAAAATTAGTGAACATAAGACAGCTAAGTGACTGGGGAAAAAGGGCTTTTACAAATTAGACACAGACAATGAGACAGTGGAGTGGCATTTCAGAATTAAAAAATATTGGTTTTCAGGGATTATTTTTTTTACTGTAAACACTGATATCTTCTGAGGAAGTAGACATTTTATGTAAAAGAAAATCGTTTAGCTGAAAAACACTTTTGATGGAAAATTTCCAACTGAACCTTTACTTACTTTATTGCACATCTGCGTACAATAGCCAAAGCAGATATGTTCATCTTCAACTACGAACAGTTTCCACATGTTCCACAATAAGCTATGGAGTCTATGTCTTCTTACAAGCCCTTTTCTTCTTTTTCCTTGTGATACTTATACACAGCTTCAGCACCATAGCAGCATGAATAAGGCCACACATCCCTCCTTTACAGTGGTGTTTCTCAACCCATGGGTCATGACACAAAAGTGGGTTGCAAGACTATATGAAAGGGTTGTGAACAAACTTTAAAAATGGATTCTCCTTTAAAGGAGAAAAATGTGGGAAACTGGCTTTTCCCTTGCAGGCTGGCACAGTTTCAGCTTGCAAAGGGCTGCTTGGGGCCCCCCACCCTACACATCCACCCCTGTCCCACACACCAGGAAGGGGCTAGGGCCTGAGGGTAGGGAGCAGTGGGTTGGGAATGAGGGGCACTGGGCCAAGACTGGCTATTGATGGTTTACAAATGGGTGCTGGCACAAAAAAGGTTGAGAACCACTGCTTTACAGAACTGGTATAAAAGAGTGTTCAGGATTCAGGGCACAGAGAACTGAAGGCCTCAATGTGCATGAAGTACACTGTACAATGAAACCCACCTGTTCCTGTTCCCTGTGCTTAGGTGCTTTGGTTGATTGATTAGACCACAGATGTCCAACTGGTGCCCACAGGCCACATCTGGTCCACAAGGGGTTCAGTTGCAACCCCTGGGGTCCTGTTCAGCTGCTGCTTCCCCCCTATCCTTTGTCTAGAGTCTCAGGGATCCCCCTCTCTCCTCTGGCTTTCACTGCCTGCCCCAACCCCCAGGGGTGAAGCAATGCAGCTTGGCAAGGCCGTGGAGATGACAATGAGCCAGGGGCAGCAGTGGGGTGTGGTGCAGTGGGGGCGAGGGGAAGGGAAGTGGCAGCCACATCACGTGCATCCTGAGGGGCCCATGATCTGTCCTGTTGCGGCCTGTGAATGTTCCATGCCTGCTGGTGTGGCCCATAAGGCATTCAACTCCCAACCCCTTAGAAGTTGGATAGTCCTAGGTAAGGACATCACTTGCATGAAGTGGTGACTCCGTATGGCCTAAAAAGAAGTTACCCCCATGAGATCAGCTGCACTGCATATACAGTTAACATTCCTTTACTTTTCACTTTGCTGAGGGGGCACTGTGCTTAGGTAGTATGGTTGAAGGATCATAGAGAGTACTAGCCAATTGCCCATCAAGAATGACAGGGGTCAGGGGAGGGAAGGGACTGGGATGGAGTGCCACCACCTAGCGCTCCATGCTGCCACTGTTCTGCCTCTTGCAGGGAGTGAGGTGGGCTCCCCCACCCTCTGTCTGGTCCTTGGCGCAGCTTCCAAATCATGGCAGTGCTCTCCCATGCTTGGAGCACTCTGATTGGCTGTTTCTGCCAGCCAGTCAGAGTGCAAATAAAGTGTTACAGACAGACAGACTTCAGTTTTTATAATATTAGAATTCCTGCCTTCTTGAGCTTCCTGTGTCAAGCACAAGGCAGCACCGGGACTCCATGGAACTAGTTATTAACAATTAACAATAGCCTCTCAAAAAACCCAGCAATATTGCCTTACTCCACTTCCATACCAGCTTGCAGAGGAGGGAGTAGCTGCTGCGAAGGGTGACTCAGCAGCCATGTTCCCCCAAGCTCTTGGATTCACACCTACTTTCATTGCAATGCCTCCCATCCTTACTGCAAGGAGTCTGTAGGTTTCCCCTACAGCATCCCCTTTGCAGAACTTTGATTAAGGGTCAAAAATTGAGCCTGCTATATGCAGAGACTGCTACTCTATGGCTAGAGAGGGATACTGTATCAGAAAGGGCTTTTCAGGGACAGCTGAAATTTTCTATAATGTACCCCTAAGCTTTGACTTTTCATCCTGGAGTATAGATGAGTTTCTCTACACACGATTCTTTTATAAGCAGAAATGTTGAACATAAAGCCATCTTCTCTCTGACTGCAGTTCAAACCTTAATGTTTTTATGGAACATGTCCATTAAACTGGCTAATATGCTTTAATGGTAACTTCACACTCTATGTTTTCTGTGTTAAAGTTGCAATGTTTTACTTACAACTGCATGACAAAAATAATAGGAAATGACTGCCTGGGGTAAACAGCGATCATTCTGTACTAGACAGACCGAGCCAGATTTAACACCTACTGAAAAAGGGCACAAAAATGTCACCTGCTGTAAACATAATACAACAAAGGGCAAAAGTCAGGTTATTCATTGTTTTGCATTCCAGCTACATTTGCAAGCTTGGAAAGCAAATAATCACTTTAAATACATACATGCTGAGACCCAGTCATCCCAAGAGTAATTTTTAAGTGTGAACTTTTATAGTTTGTCTCAGTGTCACTGGAATAATTCATTTTTATTAGCCACTGGGTTTATGTTGGATTGTTTTTTTAGTATTAAAAACAAGATCAAGAATTTTTGTTTTGTTTTGTTTTGTTTTGTTAGCCACTGGGTTTATGCTGGATTAATTTTTCAGTGTTAAAAACAATATCAAATGTATTTGTGCAAGTAAGGATTTTATCTGACTAATCAATGCTTGGTGCAATGCCAGCATGACAGTAAATATTTTGGGAGATGGCACGATGAGTAGCCTAGCTGATAAAATGTGTCCCTTACCCTTGAGAATATTTCACAGTTCTAGCTTAACTTTAGCCCACATCACAAGTATAATACCTGGCAAACTCTGCTTAGTTGATGACCATAAATCACCAATTATGCAGACAATGATTCACATTTATGGCTTATATCAAGTCACGCCATAGTGAAATCTTTTATCTCTTTCATTATTCTAGACTATTTATCATTATTTATCATTATTCTAGACTATTTATCATTTATTATTATTTATCATTTATTTATTATTATTTATTATTTGTTTATTTATTTATTTATTTAAAAGTCAGTTACTGTATATCCCCCTAACAAAAACTATGCTTAAAGATACTGGCCCTGGGTCAGGTAGATTTCCTAGCAGTTAAGCACTTGAGAGGAGTGGTACCAAGACACACGCTTAAGTTAAATACCATATTTACTCGAATACAAGACAAGGGGGGTTTTTTCCCCCCAAGCAGCATGGGGAACAATTTGCATACAAGGAAACCACTGCATACAAGGAAACCACATTAAGTACATTGTCGATCATTACACTGGTGCCAAAAGCAGCATGTGCTCAGTAATGGACACCAGCTATGATGTTGATTAAATGCAACCAACACTAAGCATGACCCATAAGTGGGAAACACAGATGGGAACTTTTTTTCTTTGATGGCCCTTAAAAAATGGGTGGGTATTCCTTCCACAAGGAATTGGCACCAGGCCTGAAGGTACTGCAATAGCATGCCAGCAGTGGGAAAGCCAGAACCAGTCCTGACACCCTCCCTTGGTTCCAAAATTGCTACTACCACACAAATAAGTTAATGCAGCCCATCTGAATAAAATATGTGCAGATGCCCATTGTATTTAGAGTTACTACTCTAAATACATTTGGACTTCCTCTTAACTCCCACTGCTAAGCTGTACCTTACTTTCCCATTTCCAATGATTCCTATTTCTTCACCAGCCTTAAATGTCTGGCAGACATCATCAAATAGGGCCCCAAACAGTTCACCTAGAAGCCTTCTGTCACCCCCTTTTTCAGCCTGTCACATATGTTTAGTATGGCCCCATTGTGCATGAGGTGGAACTGGACCAGGTTGCCCTGCACCTCATCTGCATATACATTTTTGGAGGATCCCAGGACTTGTGACAAGAACACCCAGTTCCATTCATGAGTGGAGAGCTAATTAGCACATGGATCCTTTGTCGAGCAGAGCGGTATCTGGAGTACCCACACACATACTCAGCAATGCTGACCTATGGGGTCACTATAGCTTGAAATGCTGCTAGGGCCCAGCCCAAAGAACTATAAAGCAAATCATGAGACTTTTGGCTTTGAACTAATATCATGTATAGCTTGTATTATATATAAGTAGGTACAAAACTGCTGCTTAAAAGTATGTTTATGAAGTACCTGTACTAAAACTTGCAGCCATTTCAAAAAAGATAAACTGTATCAATTCTAACTGAATTAAGTCAATAAGTACCTGTAGTAATTTGCTGATATGCAAATTTTGCACTTCACTTTCATGTGATTAGAAAGAGCAGGGTCTGACAGTAAGGAGAGGAGGAATAAGTTGGAAAAGGGTGGGGGGGCTAGAGAGCAAAGGAGCCCTTTGACTCCCTTCTCCCCCCCCCCCCCCCCCC